TGCATTGTAAATTTTGGTCAATGACATAGGACAAAGTATATGTGAACTGCTGTATGAAAAGTGAATTTACTCTGTAAATCTTCACCCAAATCAAAATAAAGTTAAAAAAAAAAAAGAATTTGGTTGTGAAAACTTCAGTTTTATATCAGAGAACAATACGTGGACATTCACGATAAAGATGAGTTATTTATATATATGTCTTACATAACAAAGTATGAAGATACCTGCTTTTTATTTAAGTGATAAACACTCCCATAAACATAACTCTACCCTTTACTGTTTTAAGACTCTTTGTTTTTTAAAAAATGCACACACAAACCCTGAATTGTAGTTTCTTTTATCAGTAAAATAAATAGAATAAACTTTATAGCAACAAGTTTTAAGAAACTTCCTAATCTTTCACAAAAACATTTTTCTATCGTTCAAATGAAAAGAGGACCAGAAAAATCTCCAAATGATACTATTTTTTTAAAACTACTTAATATGCAAAACTTTGATAACATATAGTCATTATTAATGTAAGAGTCTCCATGACTTTTCTTTCAGAAGCAAGTTCTCCTGAATGATTCAAATAGTATATGATTCACAACATTCAATGTACATGCAACTTCTCAGTCACACATATATAGCAGAGTGACATTTGAATTGTTCAAATCATAAAGCCTTCATTGTCTGGTTAGGTAAATGGCTGCATTCAACTACCATGAAAAATCAAGATAGCATAAAGTCTAAAGAGTAACAGTGGAAAAAAGGCTAAAATCTGTTACTTCTGAAAGAAACCATCCCACTAAGTTTTCAGCCTCTTTATTTTCTCTATGGCATTTAACAAAAGTCTTACAAGTTGTTATAAATACATACCCATACTTCATTCTCATTCTATCATTTTCCGGATTACAGTAAAATCTTTCCAAGTGCTCCTGGGAGTCATTGGATACACTCTGCCACTTTTGAGTAGTTGTCCTCTTGATCTGCCAGTGATATGGCAATATCGTATGGTGTTTCACACAATCCCTGCCATAAATACAAGTGCCCTGCAAAAAGTCCATGCAAATTTCAATTCCATTTTCTTGGTGAGTATGGTATTGTAACTGGTTCACCAGCTCAAACACAAGGTCAAGGGAAGCCTCTTCACTTTTGTCCTGGAAGAGCTCAGTACTCAATTTATCACTGGTGTCCAAAATGTACTGGATTGTAAAACTGTTGTCTTGGAAAACACCTGGAACGTAATCCATGACTTTGTCTATGCAGTCAGGACTGGTAGGAACATCACCTGAAACCGGGTGCAGAAGGTCAGTCTGGAAGTGCCCAGCTGCAGAATCTGCCACTGTCCCACTGATTGTTTCTGGTGGAAAACTATGATCCTGGATTGGAACTTGTTCGGGACCATCAGTGGGAGGATGGGCTTCTGGTATTTGGCCTCCAACATTTGTCCCATCAGGAATCAGGACAGACACACTGTTTTCTGGTGGTGGACACGGTGTATTGATTGCCAAGGGCTTTTTCACCATAGATTCGTGTAAGCTGCTCTCATCTGCACTCTGGTTTCTAGGTCTAAAAACTTCATCAAGAGAACCAGATTCTAGCAAAGTGTTTAATATTGGCCTCAAAGACCTCAGAGTTCCGGTTCCCAATCTCTTCTGATCTGGCTTTTTCTTAAAACAAGTCTTCAATGGAGTGATCTTCTCAGAGAGTCTCATTTGGCATGAAAAATCATCAGTAGGAGAGGGTGGCTGCACTACACAGTCTGGCTCAGATTCAGTGGTTTCCATTTCCATGATGGGTATTAGCTCCAACTGCTCCTCAGTCTAAAAGTCCTATCAGGAAAGGAAGAAAGATAAGCATTACAAACTGACAACAACCAGACCCCATTCATTCATCAAAATGTTTTGTTTTTGTCTGTGACTGCGTCCCTAAAATCATTCCTCTTGCACTATAATCTTCATGGGTCAGTTTTAAATTTTATTGAGATATTAGGACCCAAAGCATCTAAGGTGATTAAAAAGCTCAGAGCAGGTAAAGGTGGAAGAGAAATGGTGTCCTCCAAGAGATCTTTGGCATTTATCTGTGTACATGATATACAGCAATTTATAATTCTGCTGGCATATGGATTTTTATTGTATTGCTGCAGAGGCAGGGCATAGGGGGGAACAGAAGTGTGTTTAGCTCATGACAGTAGGGAAACCACATCTCCACTCAGTTTTGTAGTTCTGTCTCATGAGGTGATAAATAGTGGGTGAATCTGGCATATATACACAGGGGAACAGAGGCTCTCAATCGAAATGTGACATGGTATACATTAAAAGCCTGTAAAAGCATTTCCATATGCAGAAAGTTATATTCCCCCAAAATTTAAGGCTCTACATTTACAATTCCCAAAACATTATTCCTGTTAGCAACACAAGCTACAACAGCAGCAATCACAGTACAGTGTGTTAGAAACCAAACAAAATTTCTTAACACCAAAAGGGCTTCTTAGTCTTCAGTAAAATTACACATACATGCATTTCTTAAAAAGGCTATAAAAGACTATATAAAAAACAGAACACGAAGAATATTAAACACATAAAGCCCTGATTCTTTCAGATTCCTAATAAACTGTTGGAAGAGACTAAAAAAGTGCTTCATTAGGAGAATAGACCCCTTGAAAAAAAATTAGAACTTCATGCTCTAGCAGAGAAAACTTTATAAATAAAAGATAGTGTCTACCTGACTATCCAGCATTCATTATTTAATTCTGGAAATATTTACTGACCAGGTGGGAAAGGGCTGTTGACAAGCACTTAATCCTCTTCTCTTTCATCCAATAGACTGAAAGAGATCTTTGACTTACTCAAATATGCACCCCAGGTGCCAGTACAGTCACAATGCTCACAGTGAGTACTTATTATATATTGACCAGATTAATAAATATTGGTTGGGAAAAACTTTAAGTATCTTTTAAATGCCTACTTCTTTGTTAGCCTCCAAGGGTTAACAACAAAAAAAAAGATAAAACTGGGTCCTCCAAAAAACAAACAATAAAATTTAATTGGGCAGATCCATGAATCTCTATGTGTAAAATGTACATAATGATCAAAATGATAAAAACACAAAAATCACAGTATGTAACAAGGGGTTGATATACATGGATAAAAGGAAAGGGTAGAAAAAAGAGAGTTCAGTGTGAGCTGGCATTGTTAGGGAAAGCTTCACCGAGGAGGAGAGACTTGACATGAGACATAAATCAACTGGAAAGCAGCCAAGCCAGGCGTTATTATTCATCACTCGGTGCTCTTGCCTCAAGGCACAATTGGCACAGATTGTGGTATTCCCTCTCCACCACACCAAACCGGCCTGTGCCTTTCCCCACGCACATATACTAACCACTCCTATCACACCCAATCAAGGCTAAACAGACACAAAACCAATTTCATTTGTACGTGTGTATATATAAAACAACTTTTCCTGTCATTGCCCTTCATCGGCAAACTCTTAGAAACAAAACTGGGGAGGAACAGGCAGAAAACTGGAGGAGTGGCCATAGTGAGGAAGCCAGGAGAACCTAGTTCCTCAATTAGTTTGCATAACAGGAAAATAAAGATTGGAGGAACACTTCCTCAGCTGCAGGCAAACCATCGCGCCACCAGCACCTCGTGACGCCCGCGGTTCTCTAGCACTCACAGCCGATCACACCTTCCGAGGAACCGCCCGTCCCGTTCGCTCCAGGGTCAGGACTCTTCGCTTCAGGCCCGCCGGCCGCCGCGCGATACCCGGGCGCCGAGCCCGGGTCCGAGCGACGCTTCTTGACCGCCTCGGCGGTTTGCGCACGGCCGCGACAACTGCGCGGAGCGCGGCTCAGGCGTAGCCCGGCTTGGCGGATTCCGGGTGTTCCCGAGCATCCCCGCCCCCATCTTCCCGTCGGCAGGCGCCGGTCGCCCCTCAAACCCTACGTCCAGCCTCCTTCCAACGAATGACCCCCTCAGCCCCGGCTTCCCTCCATCCTGTCAGTCAGCCCACGGTGCCTTCCACATTTCATTGCTTTTTTACCTCCCCAAACGACCTTCCTGAGAGAACCGTCCAGGGAGCCTTTGAGGCTCGCAGAGCTGACCCGCAAAGCGCAGGAGAAACGCAGCGGGCACTACTCGGGGTGGCGAGGAAGGAGGCGAAGACTTCTAAGCCCCTCAAAGTTCATCCGAAAACAGCCTGCAAACTTCTGGGCTGCAACCCTGAACGCAGGGTCGCCGGAAGACTCCTAAGCAGGCTCCGTACCCTCCCCTTCGATTTGCCAAGTGCTCCTCAGAGCGCCCTGGGGTCTGCGTGGCGGGAGTGGCCACATAGACGCGGCCCCGCGCCCGCCCGTTCTGAGAGGAGAGGATAGGGAGACGCCGACGACCCTGACTAAATCCTTTAACGTATTATTCCGATGTATACACCTGCCAAAACCTCAAATGACTAAGTGTAAAGCAACCCCATTCTAATATTGATGGGGACCGAGTGGAGTCGGTACAAAAAAGCACACACTGAAAATCAATCGCCCCGGATCCGCGAGAGCCTGGCACACTCCTGGCACGGGAGGCTGGAGTGCGGGGACCGCGAAGCCAGGGGCCCTCTCCGCGACCCACATCCCGGCTGAGGTCCCTTGTCGGTCCCTCAGCGTCCTCACTGAGCCCTTTACCTGAAGAGGCAGCCTGAAAGAACGGACGACAGGAGTCGCGTCGCGGCGCTGTCGGCTCGCTTGGCAGCGTCCGCACCGCAGGTCGGCGAGGAGGGCGGGCGCCGGCGTCTAGGGGTCGCAGCCCGGCGACGCCGCGAGCAGCGCACGGGCCATTCCGCTGCCGCGAGCGCAGGAACCTGCAAGCTCAGGAAGCCGCGACCGCACTCCTAGTACAGCAAGCTCGCCTGTCACCTCGAGCTCTGCTTTAAAGTGGCTTCCGGTTGCCTCCTCCCGGCGGCCCCGTCGCGGAGGCGGATCTTGGGCGCCAGGGGGTGGAGTTGGCTGAGGGGGCCGGGCGCTCAGTGGGTGCCGGGAAGGAGACCCGCCCCGCGCGCGTGCGCGTGCGCTCTGGCACGCTGGCTCGGAGGCTCGCGGACTGTGAGTGCGGCTGTGGTGTGCTCCCGCGAGGGGGCGTGTCCTTCCGCGCGTCAGCTGCGTCCCCGAGGGTCCGCATCTACGCACTTCAGGGAGCGCGCCTCTTTGAGGAAGAGAGGGGCGCACCGCGTGGGGAGGGCTCCACCTGCCTGCGGACAGATGGAGGGTCACTTTGTTCCGAGAAGACCCAGGCACCCGAAGGAGGATGTGAAACGGAACGACCCGTTTCGCTGCGGTTGGCTTGTTTATTTGCCTCCTCACAGGACGCCTCCAGTTCCTGATGACACCGGATCCTGAGAGGAGGCAAACGACTGCAGCCGCCGCCACCAGACGGGGTCGCCCGCCCCGCGCCGGACGGGCACAGGCTGTGCACGCGATCGGGCTGCCTCCCCCAACCCGGTCGCTGGCATTCCTGTTTCACCAGAAATGTACACAGTTTTGTAGAGAGAAAATACAGCTTTGAGGTTTTGACAGCAGAAGCGCATAGATTTGTGTTTTAAAGCCCACAAACACTGTAGTGATATATTCATTCAACAAATATTTGCTGAATGCCTGCTACATGTCATGCAAGCACTAGAGTTTAAGGAGCCCCTTATCAGCCCAGACACCATGCCTATCCTCAAGAAGCTTGAAAAACACTCTATGTTCACTCCTACAATGTACATCACATGTGATATTGCCGTATTTTCTGGATATTAAAATGCTTTGCACTATAAAGCCATATACTGAATACTCGGTATTAGAAGGAAGAATCACTACATTAAATTCATTAAACTCTATTAAAAAAAAAAAAAAGCCCTGGTCAGAATAAAAGAAAATTATGTCTGTATCCCGAACAACTAGAGCAGTACCTGACACACAGACCCTCAAGACATTTATGAAGGGCTCTGAATCAGCTGAGTTTAAATCCCGGCTTTGCCAGTTACCTAAGTGGAAGACCGGGTATTTATTTCTCTATAGATACTGCTTATCTGTAAAAGGGTCATCATAAAAAATCTCTGCCATAGTTGTAAATATCAAAAAGTTTCTAGAAAGCATACTTAACTAAATTGATGGGAGAACTCTATAGCACAAATAACTTTTTTAAAAAAAAATCTAATTTCAAAATGGTGAGCTGATCATAAGCCGTATTTTTTGTCTCTAAAATTTAGAAGTGATAATTTTTTTTTTTTCTAAAGGAGGTATGCTCCATGCATAATGAAGGGGACTACTCATTGGATAGGAGACTGTGAGAAAATTTTGAGAGACTGAAAGTAGATGTATCCCACTGACGATAAAAATGGCAGGGCAGACTGCCACCATGAATCCTGGAAGCTACAGCCAAGGTACTCTGTGGCCAGAGGAAGGAGCCCAGGGGCAATCAACCTGAGTTTGTTGGAGTATCCAGGTCTTTAGACCCTTAAGTCTATCTATACACAATCATACACCTCCAAGAATAGGCAGCAAAAAAGGCAGCACCTAAAGGCAGCATTGCTGCCTGGGGTAGATAGATAGGGCAGTATTCTTAGGTAGCCAGTATCATGGCAGGGAGGGGGGATGTGTAGAGAAGCCCAGAGGAGCAGCAACAGGGGCAATCAGGCATGTCCTACATATGACTGACTCTTACTACAAATAACGATAAGCCCAAGCAGTGGAAGCTGACTGCCTCTTCCTCCAATAGGTCACCTAGGGACGGGCAATCAAGAATCACCAATTATTTGAAGAACACCAAATGACATAGACTGAAGAACTTACCGTGATGAAAAGAGAATTGATTGTGTAATCATAACAAGTCTTTATAAGTCTAATTAACATCCTCATTAAGGGAATTTATTGCATCCATGAAACAGCAATTGTAAAAAAGAACCAATTAAAGCTTTTGGAAATGAAAGATAAAAGGCTGAATTGCAACAGTGACACAAAGATTGAATGAGTGAGCTGGAGGACTGGGCTGAAGAATTCTTTCGTTACAGAGCACTAAAGCATGAAAAAAAAGAAGTTAAAAAATAAAGTTAAGAGACGTGTAAAATAGATTTGGAAGTTCTACTATCCATCTATTAGGATTTGCCACAAAGGAACACAGTTAACTTAGTGGAGGCAAACTTGAACAAAGTATAGCTGAGACCTTCCCAGAACTGAAGAAAACAAATCTTTGTATTGAAAAGGCCCTTTAAGCACATAACAAGAGAAATCCAAACAAACAAACAAACAAAAACCTTCATTATACTGAACATTCAGGATAGAATAAAAAGTTCTAAAATTTGCTAAAGAAAGAAAAAACTCATCAACAAAGGAACGAGAGTTCTGTTAACATTAGGTTTCTTATTAGTGACACTCTTACAAGAAGACAATTAACAAATAACCTCAAAGAGATGAAGAAAAAGACAAAAGTGCAAGGTTTGATAGGTGTGATGGGATTGCCTTTTACAAACCAAGCAATGCAACCAAAAGCAAGAGAAACAATGATAGGCATTCAGAGTGAATCGATCAGCCATCATCATCTTTGAGTGAGACACCAGCTGCTTGTTTCCTACTTACTTGGGTCAAAATCCCACACGCAAGAAATTTGGTTGCTCAGCACCTCATAACTCCCTTTGTTTCCGCTGGCCATTATTGAACTGTTTCAAACCAGTTTGAAGTCCTGTGCCAACCTTTTAGTTAGCAGTCCAGTGCTTAACCATTTGCACTACCCGGGTACTTCTTTCCCAGTAGTGTATAAAATAATACCGTGTTTAAAAATCTATGGCATGTTAAAAACCAAAAAAAAAAACAAATTCACTGCCATCAAGTCAGATCCGACTCATAGTGACCCCACCTTAGTGGTCCTTGGGTCTCCAAGGCTGTATCACCATGGAAGTAGATTGCCCAATCATCCTTCTGAGGAGTGGCTGTGGGTTTGAACGGCCAGTGATTCTGGTTAGCAGTCAAATGCCTTAGGCACTACACCACCAGAGCTCCTTATGGCATGTTAAGTGCAATGAGATATAATCATTGATACAAAATTGGAGCCAGAAGTGAGATGCTAAAAGTACCTGAACTAAATTGAGAAATTGGCTCAGTGGAAGAGGTAGGAAAACAGGTATTGAGGACCAATCATTCTAGGCTAGAATGCTAGTTACACTTGCTATGCACCTTGAAATGTTTGACCAAATTGTTGCCTTAAGACTATATGTCATTTAAGTTTATAGTGAAGGTGAAAATGGTTGAAAAAATGCAGTGTTGCTTACTACGTCTTTCAGCAGAGCTCTGTAGGCAGCTGTCAGGAATGGAAAGGAGTACAGCTTTGCTCAGATGCTCTCTGCCTGTGGCCTGAAATATAAATTGACCGTGAACTGCATGATTTTTAGAGCCTTTCCAGGTTGAAAAAGCTAACTATTGCCTTACCCCACATGGAAGCATACAAAAATAGTAGCTAAGAGGTTGCTGTTGTTGTTGTTATGTGCCGCCGAGTCATACTCAACTCATAGCGACCCCTCCTTGAGTTTCTGAGGTGGTGTCACTATGGAAATAGATTGCCCAACCTTCCTTCCGAGGAGTGGCAGTAATAGGTAAGATTATGACTCCAAGCTTTTTAAAAATTGTTTTAAACCAGATTGGGTGAGCACATCAGCAAAGAAGAGATTAAGGGTAGTATCTTTCCAATAGGTTTGCCTTTTCAAATCATGTCAAGACTGGGACATTAAGGTGGAAATGACCATGATAGAATTTGGAGGCCAATATGTAAAAAACAAAAATCTTCAGACTTAAAAACTGTATTAAGACGAGATCTTGCTCTGTACCTATTCGTACATGGAATTGCCTAGAAGCAAATGTTTGAGTTTAAATCTACCATCTTACTATTTTCTCTCTATTTTTTATCACTTGTTCTACATTTCTTTTTCTTTCCTTTCATGCCTTCTTTTGAATTAGCTATTTTTAAATTCCATTCTCTCCCAACAATTAGGTTATTTGTCATAATTCTTTTATTTTTTCAATCATGAATTAAAAGCTCTTTTATTTTTTGTTGTAATTTCATTGAAAATTTTCACAGGAAATCAGGCCTCCATTTGACAATTTCTACACAAGTTATTCAGAGACATTAGTTAACATTTGTGTTAACAATGTGTCATTATTCTCACTAATTGCATTCTAGTTGTTCTACTTCTACTACTCTAGTTTCCCTGACCTCCTTGCCTTCTCATTTTTGTTTTAGAGTAATTGTTGACCTTTTGGTCTCATATAGATGTTTTTTTTTTTTTTTTTTAATGGAGCCCTGCAGTGCAGTGAATTACTTGCTATAGCTCTTTTAGCCATTTGTGACTCCCACCTGATTACTGGGTGGAGCTATGTAAATATAAGGTGTTTATGGCCCATCAAAGGGATTAGATGGCTTTTTAACAATGTAAATAAGATACCTGGCACCCCTTTGGGGGTGGGACCATGGAAATAAGGTGTATGGAGCCCTAATGGAGAACTGGTCTGTTTTGTCATTCCACTAGGCTTAAAATAGTCAGAAGCAAAGAAGAATGAAGAAAAGCAAGGACACATGGAAACAATTCATCCAAGGGACTAGTGGACCAGGAGAACCTCAGCCTATATGACCCTGAGACCAGAAGAACTAGATGGTGACCGGTTACCACTGTCAACCACTCAGAAAGGGATAAAAATAGGAAATCCTGGGTAAAGTGGAAAAAATGTGGAACCAAACTCAAAACTATAAAAAAGACCAGGCTTGGTGGTCTGATTGAGATTGGTGAAACCTTGAGACTATGGCCTCTAGTGACCCTTTGGTCCTGGAATTGAACTCACTCCTGTGGCTTCCAACCAAATAATAAACAGGCGTATAAGGTGAACATTTATACCAGGTACGTACACTCCTTAAAACTATTTCAACCATGGGAGACCAGAAGGGCAGTATTTGCACAGGGTGATAGTTCAGAGGGCAGAAATGCATGGGAAAGGATACAGGGAAAGGGTAACCAGAGGGAAGAAGTGGGATGAGAGCTGTTATAT